AACTGTTCAAACCATGGTGGTCAGTAAGCAGAGCGGGAAGGAAGGAGCAAGGGAGGGAGATACACCCTTCAAGGTCACACCACCGGTGACCTCTTTCAACCAGACCCATATCCCAACAACACACTCAGCTCCTCAACAGTCTAGTGAATGAATCCCCTGAAAAGTACAGTGCTCCCATGGTCCAACCATCCTCCAAAGCCTCACCTTTGACCACATGAGAGTTTAGGGGACATTCCAGTTCCAAACCATAACAAGATCTGTCTTCTCATAAGTGCCCTACAAGGAGGATTCCAGGGATCCCCCACTGCCACCACCACCACCACCCCATTGCTTCTTCAGTTGGCTCCATATTGCCATTCTTTCTGCCTCACTCCTTTTTCCTCCCAACCTGTGGAAAAAAAAAAAGTGAAAATTAGTAGCCCAAGACCTAGGAGGCACTATGGAGTTATGGGTGATGAGCGTACTTGTTAGTGGTAGTGGGAACTACAGCACACCAGAGCCGCCAAACCTCTGCTCAGGGAAAAGAGGATGGGTCCTCTCTGTCAATACGTCTCTCCTCTGGCATCAGAGACTACACACAAAAGAAAGGAGCCCCTCACTCTCTCTGAACTTAGGTGGACTGGGGAAGATCTCATTGCCAGTGAGGCACCACCAGCTCTCCCTTCTCTTTCTTACTGGAGTGTGAAGGGTCTTTATTTGCTTCCCCATGAAACGTGAAGCAGGAAGTTTCCCTAAGGTTCTTGAAGAGCTCAACTACGTCACTACTCTGTGCCCAGGAGACCACTGGCAGGCTGGAGGATATAAGATAAGAGCTTAATTCCATAGCTATACAATTCCAGCAGTAGAATTTGAGCTCCCTATAAGCACTGAAACATTTACATCCTATTAGGTAAGTCCATCACCAAAGGAGGGGAAAAGCATTTATATAACTTTCACCAACTCTCCCCAGCCTGCTCTGAACCAAGAACCTTGAACAAAATTATTTTCTTCATTTTTAGAAAACAAGCGTGGAGAATGCTCTTTCTTATATACAGAGAGTACTACAAAGGGAAGAGCTACTAAAAATAATTATCTATCTGCTCCCAGTGCAGGGTTTTCTGATTTTTTAGCTCTCTCTTCGGATATTGTTGGACAGGAGTACAATATCATATTGCTTTGTTTTTTCATTTTTTATAAATGGAGTTCTGTGAACAAAGACATAAAATTCGTCTATTAGCAGTATGAAAACCTCTATTCTAGCTTTTCCACTTCTACTTAAGGCTCACCAAGCCCTTTGGGCTCCTAGCAAGCAGGGAAAAACAAAATGGATTTCCAGAGACAGCAGGAAATTTACATTTTACCTGTAGGTCTCTCTATGGCAGAAAACCCTCACTGTGAAATCAGAAATTCCAGGAAAGTAGAAAGTAATCCTCCCTCCAAAAACAGGCAGCCACTTAGGAGAACATAACACATCTTCGGTCTTAATGGCATATCTCCCTGGATAACTGGTCTTTTGTAAGCCTGGGAATTAGGAGACAAGAACAAAGGGAGAAAACAAAGTTGAAATATAGGAAGAACCCCCATCACTCTGAGGGTGGTATGCTACCAGCTGTGTTCCACATCTCTCCTACATACATACACACACACACACACACACACACACACACACAGTGGTGCATTGTCCAATGCCATGGGTCAGCTTGGTGTTCCCCTCGTTGAGTTCTACCCATCAGAGCTTCTCCAGGAGCTGGAAAGAACAGAATCTGATTTGGAAAGTCAGGGCAGAATTAGAAGGAAGAACTAAGAATGCAAATTTAGCCCACTTCACAGAAGGACCCAAAAGACCAGGATGATAGTGCCTAGGAAAGATTAAGTACCCATTAAATGCCCAACACTGTTGTAGGAGCTCAGGGGAATAGGAAGATGCCTGATGCTGACCTAAGCAGACGCTCACATTCTCTGGTTTATAAGAGGCCAGCGGTGAGCAGTCACAAGGCAGGAGAGCTACTGGGGTTCATACTGTCATGGGAAAGGACAAGAAGAAGAACAGCAGCTGCTGTCCCACAGCAATGCTCACGGTCACAGGTAGCAGCTGTGCTTTGTGCCCTGAGGACAATACTGGAATAAGCCCTCCTGCATTACAATTTTTTTTAACAGTGGTTTTCAACCATGGCTCCACTACAATCTGAAGAATTTTTTTTTTAATCCTGATGCCCAGAACCCAACCCAGCCTGCTTAAATCAGACTTGGGAGGGGAGGGGCAATGCACCAAGTCTTCAACAGCTTAAAATCGCCCATGAGGTCTCAGTGGAAGCTGAGGTTGAGAGGTAATCGTTCTAATTCCCTCACCAGCATTTCTCCACCTCCACATTGCTTTTGCCTAGGCTGTTATATTTCCTTTTTACTTTTAATTTATTCTACTTTGTTCTTTCAGTAGATAATTCTATAATATTCCATTAAACCTTTGCCTATGCGTTAACTTTGCCTTTTCTCATTTAATTTTCATTGCCCACTCCACTTGCTTCATCTTCCCATTATGTTTGTTTGGTAATTTTATGTTTTCTTTAGTCCACATCAACATTTACAGGGCACTTGCTATAGGGAGAATACAATATAGGCATTTAACTGCTACTAAAACTTAAATCCAGTGCAATAATATTTTCTGTTAAATTTTATGCTGCAGATATAGGCTTTTGTCTTATGGAAGATTGGCATTTTGGCAAAGCTGCTTTAGTATATCAACAAAAGGTCCAAAATAAATATATTGAGGCAAGAAATAAATGAAGCGTCTACATCCAGAGAGGAAATGAGCATTAACAACACTCTGAAGTTAAATACCAACATCTCCCCTGCCAAGCTCTTAGCCTCACTCTAGGAGAGAGATGCTGCCATTTGCTACACAAAGAAAAAAGATTCAGACTGTCTGTACAACTACCAAAGATGTTTTTGGAGGGGAGAACATCTGCTTCATCGGGTTCATTTCCTTGTCCACAGAGAAGACCAAATCTATGAGACATGAAGGATTGAGAAGAGAAATAAGGGCCAGAAAAGGGTCCAGAAACAAGAGCCCTTTGCTCCTCAAGGGAATCTCTGCAGGGATCTGAGTGTTTGTCTTCCTACTGCCTGCTCAGATAAGAGCCACTCTGGTGCCTCAGAGTCAAAAACATTGTCTTCCCAGCAGACCCACACCATGGAAGCTAGTCAGTGCTTTCTAAATAACTGAGTGAATGGCTCCAGTGAAAGCATCCCCAGGAGAGTTTGTGAGAAAACTGAGAAGGAAAGTGGCTCTGTAAGCCCACACTGGAAGCTCAGTACCCTGATTCTCTGACATGCGCTTCAATTTCTCTGTATTCCTTTTACCTTGATTCTTTTTCAGAAATCAAGCCAGATACCTTGTTGGAGCTGCAAAAGCAAGAGACATTTGTCCCTTTTAGAAGAAGTATGTCAAGGCAGGTAACTTGATATCCCAAAAACCTCATGTGTTCATAGGTGGGGCTTTTGGGAGGTGGCTAGACCATGGATGTGTGATGCTGGGTTAGGGTGTGTAATACTGGGATTAAAGGTGCGTGATACTAAATTGGTTTGGCATAGTTCTGGGTGTGGATAATGGAAAGGCCCACTACGGGTGTGGGTGCCACCACCCAAAAGTTTTGTAGCCTGGATGGAATAAAAGGGAAAAGAAGTTCTTGCTGCTCCTGTTGCTGCTGTTGTCTGTTTCTGCCTACCCTTCCATGGACTGTTGCTCCTCTGCCATGCCGTCCTGCCTTGGAGCCAGCTGACTATGGACTGGAACCTCTACAAACTGTGAGCCAAGGGCTGGGGATTTAGCTCAGCGGCAAAAGTGCCTGCCTGGCAAGTGCAAGGTCGTGAGTTCGGTTCCCGGTACCGGAGAAAAACCAAAAAAAAAAAAAAACTGTGAGCCAAAATAAACCTTTCCTTCTTTAATTTGTGGGTTTTGGGTATTTTGTCATAAATAACTCAATGAGAAAAGTAAAAGTACTGATGAGAAAAAAGTAACTCAGTAACTCAGAGAATGAGAAAAATAACTCAGCGTACAATTTGCAGCACCAAATTTTGCAGTTTTTCTTGGTAGAGTTGAGAATTCAACCACACAGTTGTCTCTGAAGATTGCCAGAGCCACAGTAAAAGAGAAGAGTTTTTACTGGGCCACCATACCTAAGAGGCTGAACACTGACCCTTCCACCTCCCACACCAGCCAGCTGGCCTCCAGCACTTGCCTAGCTGTAGACTGCAAGATGGGCTCACATGTATAATTTCCTGATGCCAACAATCACATGGAACAGTATTATCCCCATTTCATTGCCCAAGAAATTGAGGTGTAGGGAGGTAAGTGACTCACAAATAAGTGGTGGAGTCAGATGCAACCCCACGTCTTCTTCATCTGAATTCAGTGGTCTCCAGGACAACACAGCTGCTCCTTAAGAATTGGAGCAGGCAGGGAGGAAAGGACCTCCCCCAAGTTCCAGGACCTCTTTCAGCACAGTCTTATAACTAACATTCTTTCTGAGGCTTGTCTAAATGAAGATACTTTACCCGGCTGCCTGACCCTCAACAATTTGTGCAAATTCGGTGAAACAAGCCAGGCACAGAAAGAAGCATAGCATGATCTCACTCCGACGGGAAACCTGAAAGAGATGATCTCTTACAGAAACTGAGAGTAGAATGTGGTGACCAGAGCCTGGGGATAGTCGTGGGAGGGGAGGAGGAGGGAGAGGTTGATCAACAGGTACTAAGTTAGAGTCAAATCAGAATGAGCAGTTGTGATGCTAATGTACAGTAGCTGTACTACAGATAGCAATTATGCATTGCACGTTTCAGAAAGCAAGAAAGAAAGGAGTTTGAATGTTCTCACTGTAAAGAAGTGATAAATGTTTCAGGAGTTAGATATGTTCAACCTTATTTAAACATTGCCCAACACATCAAATCAGTACAATTTTATATGTCAGTTAAAAACAAATTTTCATAATAGCTTTAGTTTTAAAACACAAAGCAATGAAACATGAGTTCAAGGAGTTCATTTAAAGAAAAGGTACAGCAGCTCTCCATGAGATTATGGGAGATTCAAGGTTGGAGCAAGGGTTACAAGACTTGCTGAGGTCCCTTCTGCTCTCAAATCTTTCATTCTTCATTCTGCTCCCAATGAGGCCAATAAACACATCTTCCTTCACCACTGTTTAATCTGTTGGTTGATTTGCCTGGTCCTCCCAACCAACACACGAACCTGTAAATGAAATATTAACCACATCAGCCTTGCAGCCATCTCAATCCATCTTATGCTAATAGAGAAACAAGAAGTGCTCCTGGAAGTTTGCATATTAGGGTCAGCAGGTCCCTTTTTAACCTTTCTGGTCGGGGAAGGTTGCAGGGAGCAGAAGTTCTGTGAAGACGTAGCCTGTCTTCAGAGTACAACTCTGAGACCTCAGGACCTTCTGTGGCTCCACCTTAGAAGTTGGAGTTCTAACTTGTGTTGTGGACTGCAGCATGCTTCTGTCAGACGTCCTGGGGAGAGAAGAAATCATGTCACTTTGGTCAGTATTTTTGAGGACCAGGAAGAGTTCCACAGGTGCTTTGAGGAGATGACCCTGGAGATCAAAGCAGACCAAGTAAGTGTGAGGCCGCATTTAAAAAGCACTGTATACCATGGCAGCTGCACAATTTCTACACATGAGGAACCAAAGGATAGCAATCTAACTGGAAGGTGCCTCCGGAACTCACTTGAGCGTATTATCATAGCAAATAAGACCTCAAAAGACACCAAGGAAGGGAACACTGGTGGAGATCATGGGAGAAGATGAATAAAGCTCCCAACCCACACTTGCCTCTCTTACCAGCTTCAAATCTCAAGTACCAGGCAGACAGGATGGTGCACACCGGGCATTCCAGAA